TAGAGAAGTAGTTGAAAATAAGTAGAATTCTCTTGCTTACCTTTTACACAGTGATGATATTTCATCTTCCTTGAATTATAAAAGCTTTAAGAAGAAAATGTTTTTTTGAAAACTAGCTGCCATTATTGAGTTCCTAATATATATTTATTCCTAATATATATTCCTATATATATTGCATATTCATATATATATGAATATATATATTATATATATATGTATATATATATTGCATAGTATCTGCCATTATTGAGTTCCTAGTATAGACTGGGCATTTTCTATACATTAACCTAATTGCTCTTCTCAGTTGCCCTGCAAAATAGGCATTATTATCCCATGAAGGGACTGAGGGTCAAAGAAATTAAATACCCTGCCCAAATTAACACAGCTTGTTCTGGTAGAGCTAGAATTCAAACCAAGATTTCAGTAACACCCAAGTCCTTGCTTTTTCATTTGGGGACCCCGCTCCCCAGGGTCTGAAAGTGGTAAAAATGCCATTTGGCTTCTTAGGTTGCCACGTAGACTAAATGTCTGTGTTCACCCTAAATTTATATGATGAAATCCTAACCCCCCAATATGTGATCATATTAGAAGGCAGGGTCTTTTGGAGGTAATTTGGCCATGAGAGTGGAGCCCTCAGGAACAGGATCAGTGCCCTTATGAAAGTTGCTGCGGAGAGCTCCCTTGTCCCCTCTGCCAGGTGAGCACACAGCAAGAATGAAACTAGGAGCAGGTTCTCACCAGACAGCAAACATGCAGGCAGCTTGATCTTGGACTTTCAAGCCTCCAAAACTGTGAGAAGTAAAATTTCTGTTGTTTCTGTTAGAGCCGTTCAAACAGACTAAGACACCATGTTGAACCAGTGACTGGTCTTCAGCAATGCTTGAAGTAGGAAGGTCTTGGAAGGAGTAAGAGTCTTCAAGAAGGCCACATGTGACTGAGGTGGCGACAAGAAGGCATACAGAAGTGAAAAGCTCAGAAGTTAACATGAGGAAAGAATCATTACGTTTTGCTTAAAAATAATCCTATAATGACTAAATCTAACAATATTAGAATTTGTTCTCAGCAGCTGAAGCAGTAAGTGTACTTGATCTAAAAATAATGATGCAGCACGACAGTCGAATGCAGCACAATAGCGCTTGGCATGAAAGCGAAGGCAAAAGAAAAGCAGGGATTCAGAGACTACTTGAGTTACCTAGAAACAAAACTAGAAGTCAGCACAGTGGGAAAAAGAAATCACTACTGCATAATCTAAATAAGTATTAAATAGAGACTGGTGTCTAGAACTATAATTGAAAAGACAACCTGAGAAGCTGAATCAGCTGGCTGGACAGGCAGACTCAACTACAAATCCCTCAGGCACACTCGCTGGGCTTGAGCTGCCAGCACACACTTCCAGCCTCTCTACCCTCACGCGGGGGCGCAAAGGAGACCTTGCTGGCTGGGTACAGAGATTTTTATTTATTTTCCAGTATTTCCTTATATTCCCTCATTTAATTGTCACAGCCACCCTGAAACAAATGTCTAGGGAAAAAAAATAATCTAAGCAAAACACGGAATTTATTCTTGTGCTATTATTTATTAAGTAGTAAGTATTATCATCTGAGTCAGTGATTACAAATATTACATCATCTCAGATTAAGGACATATCTTCACATTTATTCAATATTTATTCAAATGTATTATAAAACCCATTTTTGAATTTAGGAAATTAAGACACAAAGGCATTGTTTGACTTACTTTTATTCACTTAAAAAATCAGCGACAGAATAGAATTTGGAATCCACATTTCTAGCCCATTGCTCTGGACTTCAGGCCAACAGAGAAACAGAAGTAATTAGGTGAGCTGTACAGGGCCTGTTGGAAGAATACAGCAGTGTTCTCTCAGGCCATGACCCTGACTCATACGTCTCTTACAAAGCTATAGAAAATGCAGCTGGGCAAATGAAATTTGTGTGTTTACCCACAATAAATGAACTCTTCCAATTCTTTGTTTGGTTCTATTATAGATTCTAATTGCCGCCGTTAGAGGAGACGCCATTTATTCTGAAAACAGTTTTATAAAGTTTATTGAAGTACTTATGATAGAACATCTGTGATTTCTTTGGGATTATTTATTAGTCCCAGTGTTGTGCATGATTCTTTCAGTATGACTGCTTGTCTAGGTTTCCATGTCATTAGAGAAGTTTAAAGACCTCTCTGTTCACCAAGGAAGTTACAAAGTATGCCCAAACATACAGGGTGGGGCAAAAGTGGGCTTGCAGTTGTGAGTTAAGCAAAACACAGAGTTTATTCTTGTGTTATTATTTATTAAGTATTGTATTATTTTCTATACGAATGACTGTAAATCTACTTTTGCCCGACCCTGTATATGGTACACTAGATTATTTTGCTTCCCTCAGTAGAAGATGCTGTTGCCAGCATGGCCCCCGGAATTCTTAGGAAACAACTGTGTATGCCCAGCAGCGTCAGGATTTGTGAGAACATCCGAGTAATTTCAACCTGCTCCTGGAGGAGTCTAGCACCTGGACATGAATCTAGCATCTGGAAAAATATCAATGACTCCCTCAACACATATTTCTGTGGGCCTACTGTATCCCTGCTCATGGCTAAGTTTTGAGGACAAAAGAGATAAAATAAAGATTGAGACACTGTCCCTGTGTCTAAAAAAAAAATCTAAAAGCTTTAAAATTGGAATTTACAAGCATTTCTACTTTTATGACATTATCTCATTTAGTCCTTATAATCGCTGTGAAGTATCATCATCCCATTTCATGGATGGGAAACCCGAGGTTCAGAGAAGATAAGTCAGTTTCCCAAGATCACAAAGTGAGTAGCCAAGTCAAGACTTGAACACAGACCTTTAGACCCAGAGTCTTTCCATGATTCTCTCTATATCTCTGTTAAGGAGCTTATTGTAATAAGTATGTCTCCGTGATACTTTCTTTATGTAAATAAATCATCTCAAATAAAAATACAAAGAGAAAAAAAAGAAAGAGACCATAATATGAAACCACAATATTGACATAGGAGAGTTATCTGAGGTTAGACAACAAAAAGCGGAGAAATATTCTGGACTCAAATACATGAAATTGGGGGACAATGAAAAATAAGTTAGGCACCAAAGGAGCCAAAACAACCCATTTATTTTGGGAAAAGGTGAGGGAAACACAAGTAAAAAGTATTTTTTCTTAATGCACTACCATGTCTCCAGTAGTACTCAGTGGGAAAGAGTGCACTGAATGAACTGTGCTGAATTTTCATCATAAAATATTCCCATTTTATAGTCCCAGAGATGTGGAAGTGGGGTACAGACTGACAATCCCCAGAAGAGGGTGTGGTGGGGGAGAGATAAACCACAGAACTTATATGCATGTATGCATGAACAATAGATATGGACAACAAAGCTGGGGACAGGGCAGGGAGGGAGGGGGAGAGGGGAATCAGTGAGGGGAAAAGGAGAAACATCTGCAACAAAAATTAATTAATTAATTAATAAAAAAATAAAATATTTCCATTTTATTGGTTCTCTCACATGAGACTCTCTTTATAAAGACCCCAATAAGTAGCCTGGCAGGTGGCTCTAGAAAGACAAGTGAGAAATAAGCAAACATTGGTTTTTCAAGGATCAAGAGCATTTCTTATTTATCAATATCCATTTCCTCTTTTTATATTTAGTCACTGACATTTACAACAGTTAAAAAAATAAATCACTAATAAAAAAGCAATATTTATCCAATGCTACTTTAAGCACATCCATGTCCAGTGCAGTGTTTGCTATCAGTTTTCTTTTGCCTTCTTCTGTATACACTTAGCTGAGCACGACAGTAAGTTCAACAAGCTCCTGAATCAAGTTTTTCAATGCGTGTGAAGTAAACTAAATGTATTTTCTAGAAAGGAGTTAAACACCATTAAGTAAAATTAATAACAGGTAAATTTCACATTATCATTCATAGAGTGCTATTCTACATAATTATTGCCATTTTCCCAAAGTGTTCAACTATATTCTCAAGCTTATATGTTCAATACACTTTGAATACTCATGTCTTATGTATCATGGTCATTCCTGCACATAGAGGAAATCAGAGTATACCAAACTGCATGATTTCGCCAAATTAGTTCAGACAAGTGCGCATCACTCTCTCCTTCAGGAAAGTGGGCACGGGGTCTCTAGGGAGAGAGCAGATATATCCTGGAACAATATTCTCTTTAGGACTCTATATTTGCCATTCTTTATCCCCAGATTAGATCCAGGAATTAAGTCAGAGACTGAGATCCCCAACACTCAATCAGAACCAATCCTCCAGGTAGTAATCCATAACAAATACAAATTCTAAACTCCTCGGCACCCTTGATCTAACTAAAAACATCAACAACACTTCATCTGATTTTCCTTTCTATATCTTCACAACAAGCCTGGATCAGAAAAGGTGGCTAGAGACTGGTAATGAAAAGCTTTCTCTCATCCTGAGATTTCTGTTGGGTTTAATGGAGTGATGAGTCCTTCTTCTCCCTTAGCCAGAGCTGAGGGCTGCGCACCAGGAAGTGCCAGATGCTTTGGGTACAACCTCTTTCTCAATCTTCCCAGAAAACTGATAAGATGACCACTAGTGTCTTCACAGTACAGACACAACAGATGGAACTCAATGGTATTAGGTGATTGCCTTAGGGTCATACCACTGTCTGGTCTTAAGGCCTCTGATATTTTCACTATTCCATGCTACTTTTCTGTGAATTTGCTTCAGGGATTACTAATCTCTCCAGATGCACTGTTCTGTCCTCCTTTAACCTTATTTCTCAATTCTGCTTTTTCCAGTTTCCATCATGTTACATCACGATAGAAGTCTGCTTGTATAGACCCAGCACCTTTGGATGACACATTGGTTCAACTGTCTAATTCATTTTCTATATTAATTTCTGCTCTATATACTATACCTTAGATGCCCCTGGGTTTTAATTCTGTACCCCATTTAAGACCCTAGGACACAAAGAGGCAGGGAGAGAAGTGAGTGAAAAAAGAAGAAAGACAGTGAAAAAGCATGTCCTTAAAATGCCAACTGTAGTCTTACTCTAACTGGGTCCCATGAGGCTCAGTGTCATCTGTGAAGCTGTGCTCAGTGTTGTCAGCAGAAGGCTAAGGTCAGAGCCTAGCACCTGCAAACAAGGTACATACCAGGGAAAATTAGAAAACAAACAAAACTTTTTGACCAAAATCACATAGTTCTATAGCAAAGCTGTGCCTCAGAAATATATGACCCACTAATAATGGAAACAATTTATCCATTGCTTACCATGTACTAAAAACAATGTAGAGTTCTACTGACATTTTCTAATTAAGTCTGTGAGGTGGACATTATTGTACTTATTTTGCAGATAATGAAAGTGAGGCAAGAAAGGCTCACTGTTACCAATCCAGTAAGCATCAAAACTAGCTTTTCAACCCAGGTGTATTGATTTTAAAGGTCACAGTCTCGGCCATTATGCCATTCTCTGCCTCCAACCTGCTCTACAGAGCTAACACATTTCAACCAAAGTGTTTATCTGGGCTTTAAAAAAACTACATTCAATTGTACTTTGGATAAATACAAAGAATCTTTGTTTTTTTGTTTTTTTTTTTAACATTACCTAATTGATTGGCTTAGGGTATTATCATCTGAGTCACTGATCACAAATATTACATCATCTCAGACTAAGGACAGATCTTCACATTTATTCAATAGTTATTCAACAAACATGACTACTGTGTGCCAGACTTACCTTGAGCTTGGCTCAGAGGATCCAGTTGTGAAACAATCACAGTTCATGGCTCCCAAGGAAATTACAACCTAGTAGAGAAGATATGTGCAAAGACATAGCTATTATTCAAGGTGTTGGGTACCTCTGAACTACACCCAAAGTATGCTGCTCAAAAGAGAGAGCAACTCCCTCTGCAGAGGCAGGTCAGAAAGGGTTTCCTAAAGGACCTAAGGTTTTAAAGATGAAAAGAAGTTCACAAGGTAAAGAAAAGGGAAGTCCATGTAGAGATCTCAGTAGGACCAATGGTGTGAATATGAGAAAGAGAATGGTATCTTTAGGGACACTTATCTTCCATTCTGTAGTGTTTTATAATCTGTTATATAATAATAAACATAGCTGTGGTTACCTGAGGCAAGTATTTTCAATTGTACTGTGTTCTTTGGCTCAAAATACTGGTCTCCATCTGTTTTATTTGTCCAGAATACACAAAGAACATGAAAGATAAGGAGGGAACTTGCCCAGGTGAGGCCATTAATGACACGAATAAGGCTTTTCTCTAGAGGCCACTTTTCAGGATGGTAGTAAAAGGGATTTGAAACAAAGGTTTAATGAAACAAATTTGCTTTAATAAGGGGGTAAGTGATTTTTTACCTAAGACCAAATATTAACTCAGGTGAAATAACTAATTTTATCTCAATATATTAGTGTTTTTCTTCTGTTGTCAATCACAGCTCTTGAAGATAATTGTCTCAAAAATAATAACATATACTTCATTTCATATTATAGATAATAACATGAAATAGTCTATAAACCGACAGAATAAAACTTTGTAATCCATTTTCTTTTTTTTTCACTGATCATGCAAAAGTAGTTCATATCAGTTTGCCATTGTTAAAAAAATTATAACAATAACATTAGCCAAAAACTTCTAATGAGAATTGTATATATAACTTAAGGACAAAAAAAAAAATAGACTATAATAATTAGTTTAGATCCAGTAGTTACACAAATAAAAGTAGAAATGAATATAATGTGATTCTTTTCCTATTGTAGTTTTTACTCTCAGAAAGGTTGTAGAACAGCATGGCATTTGGAAATTAAATTCTAGTTCAGGCACTGTATAAGTCTATAAGCTTGAACAAGTCATTACAACTCTCTAAGTAGATTTATTCATCTGTAAATAGGGTTAATAATAATATCTAAAAAACACAGTTGATAAATTAGACAAGGCCATGGCCCTAGAGCTCATTGATGAGTCTAGACTCTGGACTTTAGTGAGAAGTGACACTGACTAGTTTATTTCAGTCCTTTGTCAGGAACATGATGAAAAGTGTTAATATAGTGACATGTGAGGCGTCCTAAGGAGGAGATCTGGAGTCTGGGCACGTAACTCAGAACAGGAAGGCAAAAGTGAGGCAGACAGAGAAGGGAGGATACAGATGTTGAAAACAACCTATAAAAAGAACTGAATGCCTGCCAGTCTGGCCCATTCTAAAAATATCAAGTTACTCATTTATCCATTCATTCATTCACTCGCTGAACATTCATGCCATTCCAATGAATTATTCAACATTACATTAATTCAACATACATGAATTGAAACATAGTATTTATAAGGCATATATTATATCCAGAAGATATAACATGTTCCCAAGAGGCTTCCAGTCTAGTGGGAAAGCTGGACAATTAAATCAATGAGAAAAAATTAGGTAACCCATGCTATGGCCTCAATACGCACATGGTGATGGAAAGCATAGAGGCCTGAAGGGCAGTTAAACCAGGCTGGTTCATCAGGACACCTTCCCAGAGGAGAGAAAACCTGAGCTGACTTTAAAGAAAGTCTAGGGGTTAGCCAGATGAATCAGAGGAGACTGGGGAAAGGAGTCTAAGGAGTAAGAACTACACGTGGGAAAGTGTAGAGAGTAAGATACTTTCAAGAAAAGCCAGGTGTGATTGTGGTGGAGAGCAGAAGGAGTTAACTGTGAAGGAATAGTGGAGAGCCTGGCCAGGAAGCACTCAACTCACTTTACTATGGACATCACTGAGAACTATGCAAAGAGCCACTGAATGGTTTAAATTGGGCCCAGTCAAGATATGATTTGCTTTTTTTTAATTGTTAGATTTGCAATTTTAAAACTATATTTTAGCTGTATTGTGGGAGTTGTTTTAAGTGGTTAGGAAAACTGTGGTAATGATCCAGTCAATAAATGATGCAAGCATGATAATAGATGCAAGTAATAAATTTTAGAAAAGTTTAGAAGGTTGAATAAATAGCACTTTGTAAACAGTTGCATCATGGAGTTTAAATGATAGAAAGAGAAGAGTCTAGAATGACTCTGAACTTCTGGCTAAGGCAATTAGAAAAAAAAAATTAAGAAGAGCTAAGCCCTGGCTGGGTGGCTCAGAGCATCATCCTGTAGACCAAAAAGGTTGTGGGTTCAATTCCCAGTAAGGGCACATACCTAGGTTGCAGGTTTGATCCCTGGTTGGGGTGTGTCCAGGAGGTAACCAGTCTCTCTCTCTCTCTCTCTCTCTCTCTCTCTCTCTCTCTCTCTCTCATCAATTAACATATCCTCAGGTGAGGATAGAAGAAGAAGAAGAAGAAGAAGAAGAAGAAGAAGAAGAAGAAGAAGAAGAAGAAGAAGAAGAAGAAGAACTGAACATTTATTAAGGCTGTCTTATGTACCAAGCATTGTGCTAGTTGTACATATTCATGACCTTCTTTAATCTTTATAATAATCCTATGACATAGTTATTATTAACTCAACATCAGATGAAGAAGTTTAGAGTCAGGCATAATTTTCACAAGAGCACAAAGTGGCAAAGACATGTTTTGGAGCCAGGTGTGTCTATCAAACAAGGTCATTTCCATCTTATTTACCAATCAACCAAGGTCACACCATCCATACTTATTATAGTGGATGTGTCCTGTCACAAAACAAGACAGAAAATCTTGAACAAAGAGCAGGTTTGTGGAGCAACCCAAAGAAGAAGGGTTGAAAAACAGGAATATCTATGGGGTTAAGAGGTAAACAAACACTGAATGTTAACACAGGAGCTCAGGGAATTGAGTGAGTGATTGACAACATGGACAAGATATTGACAAGTGTTTAATGGATTTGGTGACAAGAATTTTGATGGTTTGAAACCTGAAAAGAGCAATTCTTGGAAAGTATTCAGGACCCAACCATATTGTAGTGGTTAAAAGATAGGTTTGTAGAAAAAAATAAATCCAACTTGAAACTATCAATACTGAGAGGATGAAAAAGAATGAGTTACTTCCAAGGGGTGAGCCTAGTCAGGGAAGACTTCCTGCCAGTCTAGGCCTGAGAAGCATACGTTTATGGGATCTTGTCCCCCGCAGAAGGTGTTTTTTTGTTCGTTTGTTTGTTTGTTTTTAGCTCATCTTTATTGTTGAATGTATTACACATGCCCCCCCCCTTTTTTCCCCATTAACCCCTTTCTCCCCAGTTCCGTCCCCCTCCTGCCTTCCCCACACTATTGTTGGTGTCCATTGGTTATGCATATATGCATAGAAGTTCTTTGGTTTATCTCATCCCACCCTCTCTCCCTGCTTCCCTTTAAGGTTCATCAGTCTAACAACAAATTTGTACTTCTTAATTCCTTCATCTTTTTCACCTATCCCCCGAGCCCCACCCATCTGGCAAGCAACAAAAAGTTCCCTGTATCTATGAGTCTGTTTCTGTTCTGCTTGCTCATTTTGTTTGTAGATTCAATTGTTGATAGATATGTATTAGTTGCCATTTTATTGTTTATATTGTTCTTCTCCTTCAAAAAGACCCTTCAACATTTCATATTATACTGTTTTTGGGGTGATGAACTCCTTTAGCTTTTTCTTGTCTGGGAAACTCTTAATATGTCCATCGATTCTAAATGATAGCTTTGCAGAATAGAGTAATCTTGGTTGTAGGTCGTTGCTTTTCATCACCTTGAATATCTCTTGCCACTCCTTTCTGGCCTGCAAAGTTTCTTTTGAGAAATCAGCTGACAGTCTTTGTAAGTAGCAAACTGCTTTTCTCTTGCTGCTTTTAAGATTCTCTCTTTCTATTTAACCTTTGGCATTTTGATGATGATGTGTCTTGGTGCGGACCTCTTTGGGTTCAACTTGTTTGGGACTCTCTGTGCTTCCTGGACTTGTATGTCTGTTTCCTTTATCAAGTTAGGGAAGTTTTCTGTCATTATTGTTTCAAATGGGTTTTCTATTTCTTGCATTCCCTCTTCTCCTTCTGGCACCCCTATGATGAGAATGTCAGCATGCTTGAAATTGTCCCAGAGGCTCCTTACACTATCCTCATTCTTTTGGATTCTTTTTTTTTTTTTTTTTTGCTGTTATGATAGGGTATTTTTTGCTTTCTTATATCCCAAATTGATGGTTTGTTTCTTTCTTGGCTTTACCTACTCTACTATTGATTCCTTGTAAATTATTCTTTATTTCAGTTAGTGCATTGTTCATTTCTGACTGGTTTGTTTTTATGTTGTTGACGGTCTCACTAAGTTCCATGGAGGTCTCCTTAAGTTCCTTGAAGGTCTCACTAAGTTCCTTGAATGTCTCACCAAGTTCCTTGAGCAACCTTATAACCTGTGTTTTGAACTCTGTATCTGATTGATTGCTTATCTCCATTTTGTTTAGTTCTCTTCCTGGAGTTTGTTCTTCTCTTTCATTTGGGACATCATTCTTTGTCTCCTCATTTTGACTGCTTCCCTGTGATTGTTTCTATGTATTAGGTAGAGTTTCTATGTCTCCTAAGCTTCGTAGGATGGCCTATTGTTGTGGGTGTCCTGTAGGATCCAGTGGCACAGCCTCTCGGATCACTCTAGCTGGGTCCTCCTGGTGCACCCCTAGTGTGAACTGTACACCTTTCTGTTGTAATTGAGTCTTGATTGCTATTGGCACATCAATGAGAGGGATTTACTCAGGCTGATCAGCTGCAAGGACTGGCTGTGCCCACTAGCCACTGGCCTCTGACTACTGTGGAGGATCAGCTGTGTAGAAGCCCACCATACAGAGCAAGACTTACATCATCAGGGCTCTGGTACCTGCTGAATCTGCTCATGTCACTTGTGGAAG